ACAAATGGTCGCACAAATCCAACTCGCGCAGGCCGCGCCCGGCCTACTCGCGGAAGTACATTGACGACCCCTGTCGCGTCAAGCCCTTTAGCCACGACGTCCACTCTTCCAACCGTTACTCAGCCTGGCGCTCCTGCTGCCACAGACATCCCCTCTATCCCTTCATCATCAACCAGCATACCAACAGCAACACAGGCACTCCACTCCACCTATGCATCCCGTCTACGTACGGGAACAACGCTTCTCATGCAGCCCATCCTGACCAGCGCTTCAATGGCCGCAATTGCGACGCGCTCTTCGCGCCGTGGGGGCGCCGTAAACTATGCCGAGCCAGGATCGGGGGATGAGTTTCCAGATGCTGGGGCTATCGATTCGGACGACTCGGACTTTGTGGCCAGTGGAGGGACAAGGTCTGCCATCCGCGCCGCACGACTTTCTACCCGCAACCCTGTGGGCACATCCGTGTTTCGTGCGGGAAGCATTACGCCGGTCGCACCGCCACCGCCGCCTCAATCGCAACAACGCAACGAGCTCGATCAGAGCTACCTTGGGAAAATCCCTCCTTCAAAATTCATTACCGCGAAGCCCTTCGCACCCACCAAGCACGAGTACTTGTGAGTGAAAAGAAACATACCGTTGTTCATACACGCTTATTCTCAACATCTCAGCGAGCCCGAAGAAATGAGCAAGCAAGCGCTGAAGCCGATTTCTCTGGTGCCGATTCGCGTCGAATTTGAGACCGAGACTCATCGAGTACGAGATTGCTTCGTGTGGAATCTACACGAAAATCTCATCGCACCGGAGTCATTCGCGCGGACATTTTGCATGGACCTCGACCTCCCGATCAACCCTTGGGCGGAAACCGTCGCGAATCAGATCCGTGCGCAGTTGGAGGAGCACGAAGGCATCGCGTCTGTAGACTTTGGAGTTGATCCCGAGCGAGAAGACGTGATGCCTCAGGGTGAGGAGGTCAGCGAGTGTCGGGTCATCCTGAGCGTGCGTAGTTCCCTTGAGATACCCACAGCTCCGTTTATACCGAGCGCTTGTTGCAGATTGATGTGCAGATCGGCACCTACCATCTCTCAGATCATATAGAATGGGATCTGCTTTCCCCGCTGACACCGGAGACGTTCGCGAACAAGCTCTGCTCCGAGCTCGGTCTGTCCGGCGAGGCCGTGCCGCTGGTCGCACACGCGGTGCACGAAGAGCTCGTCAAGCACAAGCGGGATGCGCTCGAGTGGGGCGTCATTGGGGGATACGGCAAGGAGACAGCGGAGGACGCCGACAAGCCGCGGGATAAGAGCGGGCTGAGTCTGTTGAAGGACAAGACGGGGCTCGGGCTCGGGTGGGGACGCGCGCCGAAGGACGGGCGGGGCCCGAAGCCGCTTAGGAGCGTGTGGAGGGACTGGGCGGAGGCGGAGGAGTTTAGGACGCGTTTTGAGCTGTTGACGGCGGAGGAGGTTGAGCGGAGGGAGATTGAGAGGGAGCGGGCTAGCCGGTGCGTGGCGTGTCGTGATACGATGCGTTGGCGTTCTAACGTACCCACAGGCGACTACGGCGCGAGACTTCGAAGTTCCAGTCGCAGGTAATCTCCAGGAGACGGCGATGACGTTCGATTCGATTGCCCTCTCTTGGTATTGTACTGGAGGTGTACCTCAATGCGACCGCTGTGCAGGTGGACATGGCTGACCTTGAGAGCGTGGCTAGGTTGGTCACGGAGGTGGACGTGGTGATCAGGTTCGTTTATAGGTCGAGTCTGACAGCGGTGATGCGAGCCAGGAAGTCCAGCGGAGCACGAGTGGTGGTGGTGGGCGCCGTGGGATCGGATGTACATACCAAGTGCACAAATATATTTGTTATGAAGCAAACGACCGGAGAGAATGTGTGGGATGTCGATGCAGATGGGGCAGAGAGGGATCTATACAGCTGCCCTTGATTGTATACACAGGTTAAGTCCGCCATTATTTCTCATTCACCAGGGCACCATCAAGCACTAACCATGATGTTTTCATTGCGACAAGGCATTTAGGCAGCTCGAATACATGATACAAAACTATATGGCCTCCTGTGATGCTGCAAGACCCTACACTCTCAAGAGCTGCACAGAAGGGCAGGGCAGTATCGGTATGGATCCTTCAATGGCCTGCCATCTGATCATCGATGTGGCTGGTACCAAATATGTGAAGGTCAGAAACCTCCCAGCTCAACCGCATGGCATTACATGGGGGGTCTGGGTGCGAGGCTGGGCAAAGAAGATGTGTAGCAGAGTTCTTACAATCAGTGCGGCAGCCAGTTCTGCCTGAAATTCTCAGTCCTTGATAACGCGTTACAAGGTCACTGCTGAAAAGATTCCGTCTTTCGCAGAATAAGCGCCGGTCACACATACCCCACGGTAACGGGTAACCTTCGAATTGGGTCTTGATGAGTGACATGTGACATTAGAGCAGGTTGAAATATTGCAGATCAGCGGACGATTCATCGAGCCGATGGCATGGATAAGATGCCTAGCCTCCCGAAGGCAATCTCGTGGGTGTATCCTCTTTATATGATGACCGACCGCAGCCTCTTCGCGAAGTTGATCGTCGGATTACATATTTATTTCGAATCCTTCCCACTCAAACTGATTGTCCGCAAGTCAACAAACTGGCTCGGCCACCCTTAGCATAATGTGGATGCCATTCACCTCTGCCATTCAAAACTTGAGTGAGATGTCGAGACCACTCATGCTTTTGCTGCAAACGACGAGTCTCTGCGAGCACATCTAAGCATCATTAAACTGCCACGTAGTGATCGCGTTCTATCAGCTCCATGGAAGCACAGGCCCATGGTCTGGCCATCACAAAGCATCGTTCTTGTGTTCCGCTGTAAAAGTATCCATCCTGTCTGTCAATTGTGAAGCCTAGTGTGTTCATGGCCATGACCGACACGTTTGCGAAGAATGGTGTTTTGCTCTCGGCAATAAAGCATGTCTTCAAGAGACTTGCATGCACAGCAAGCCTCTTGCGAACGTTATGTCCAGAATCAGACAATAACTGATGCCCGTGCAAGAACCACAGCGGAACCAGAAGGCGATGGGTCCGTTTGAATGGGACGGCATATTGCTATTCCGTCGCCATAAAAGTTCGAGAGGTCGTATATACATGAAATGAAGCAGGTCTCGTCAGGTTCTCCGAATGCCCGTGCGATATGTATAGGACGGTGAGTCACCCAACCCGGGCCTCGCCCGCCCATGGAACTCACCTCATTAACTTCTGCTGCGCTCGCAGGCAGGTGGGCCGCCTGTAGATTTCATTTAGTGATTCATGAACGAGCCATTGGTGCTGCTTTCCCGCATTGAATTGGACTTGCGCAAGCTGGTCTCACCTGCATCAGCCACTCCAGAGTCCAGACAGCACAGATCCCTACCTGGCACTCTCTCAACTCGGCATGTATGTCTGCCAAGCTTCCGGTCCACTGTTGTACCAGCGCGCATTCTTCGATGGACGCGAACGAGCCCATTACATGCTTCTCTCAATTGGTGGAATTTCGGAGGACATATCCCCTGGGAGGAACTCACGATTCTGACAGAGTAGTCCATTTTTTGTTGTGCAGATCGCCCGATCATGCCATGGTAGGTTACGTCGGGCCCCGGTCCAGTTGCAAGGTATAAACGATGGCGCATGAAGACAGAGTCCGGCACCCCTCTTCGCCCATCATCTCTTTCCATCCTTGCCATGACATGCCCTCCGCCACTGTCATTTGTGAGTGAGTACGCTGTCTAGCTCTCCGCTCGCCACCGCTGACGACCGTGTACATCCATCTTATCTCAGGGTCGCTGGGCACAACGTGCCCGTCCAGGTGCGTCTCATTCAGGTTAGCAGCCCACTGACAACAGCTCCTGCAAACGCGACGCACGGGCCACGTCGAGCGTCGTGCATGTCGCGCTGCGAGTCGCCCTCTCTTCACGCTCATGCAACACATCCTCGCGACCCCGACCTATTGAGCCAAGTAAGCGTATCTTGTGATCGCACCATCCGCTCATGCTCACGTCCGCCCGTGTGTAGGCACATCATTCCCCATGCCCGTCAAATGCAGCCGCAAGAACACAGCACAACGCACAAGTACTGGGTGAGTACGCCGCTCGCACACCGTGTCGTCAATAAGCCAGCCGCTCACGCTCACCCACCCAGCAGCAAGTTCGGCCAACGTCCAGTGATTCTACAGCATTGCATGCACCACACGCCGTCACCTCATGGCACCACCCGACCACCACCGACTCCTTAGCGTCCTGACCCTTTCACTTGGCTCAGTCGGCCACAGCGAAACGTCAGGAACGTGAAACCAGGACACATCGCCACTCCCAATCTTCTTCCAACTTAGAATGATTCGATAGCGATCCTGTCGAGCAGGACGCATTGCGCGATGTCGAGCTTGATCGGCTCTGTCCATCGCGCACCCATAGCCACGCCCGACCGCCAGGATGGAACGGCATCGCGATGATGAGGATCAGCCATCGTGGCCTTCTACGCCGCATACCTAGATCCTTCATTCGACCGCCTGTGGCCAGCAGACACCAACCGCAGGTCGACGCAAGCTCTTCGCGCACGAGCAAGCTTTACCAGCTCGGTCCATCGCGCACCCGAACCCATGCCCGACGCCAGGACAAAATGCCATCACGATCACGACTCGAACAACTACGCCACGCACCTAG